AAGAGAAGAGAAGAGAAGAGAAGAGAAGAGAAGAGAAGAGAAGAGAATTCTTTATTGGCCAAGTGTGATTGGACACACAAGGAATTTGTCTTGGTGCATTCTCATCTTATTCTTCTCTTATTAAGATACATAGTATCTCTATTACTATAACATTCTTCTTCTTAGCATGTTTAATTCTGTAAACCTATTTTCTATATTTCATTGATCTATTAGCTATTTTTAGCTTTCCTATTTTTTCTCTAGCTGCCGATAAAATAGCTCCCCTATCTTATAGTATTAAGATTTCTCCCCTTCTTTAATTGCAAGTGTTAATCTATTCATTGCTGCACATTCTAATATTTTTCTAATCACATTTTCATCAGTAAGAATCTCTTTGAGAAGCGAATGAGTTTCAAAGGGGAGGGGGAGTGAAAAACCCAAGAAAATCGAGTTGCTTTTTTTGGAAAAAGCAGCTTTGGAACTTGTGTTCAGAAAGAAACTAGATCCTAATAAACACTGGTGGAAAATCACCAGCTGGCTGTTTGACAGCATCTCACACCTGACAGCTATTGTGAATTTCTGAAGCTGTTCCCATTGTTCTGTGTCTCAGGCTGCTCATGGGTGATGACCTATATCGATTTTTGCAAAATGGGGCTGCAGTTGCAATAGGTTGGGTTTTTGTTAGGACTGTTTGTTCAATATGTGTGTCTCCACATCTTCTTTTCAGGTGTCCCTGGAGAATCTCAGCCACGCAACAGCAAGCCCGAAGACAGCTTTGGCCAAGACGGTTCTGAATTTATTTTCACGGGAGAATAGGATGAGGAGAAAAAAAATCACATTTGATCTTCCCTGTACAATATTGCCGGCTGCCAAACCAGAAGCTTTTATGCAGTCTCAATGAATTGCAAAGGTAGAAATGCAGAGGTGGCCTTCAGCAGGTTCTGGAGAACCGGAAGTGGAAATTTTGAGTAGTTCGGAGAACCGGCCAATCCCACCTCTGACTGGCCCCACCCCCATCTGTTCTCTGCCTCCCATTGAGTCCCAGCTGATCCACTGGGTCTTCTTGTGTTGCCCTGTAGAGGAGAACAGAGCTGGAAAGCAGGTTAGTGGGGTGGGAAGGGAGTGGAGATTTTGCAATAACCTTCCCCTGGAGTGGAGAGAGAATGGAGATGTCAGCGTTCCAGCAAATCTCCACTCCAACCAATAACTCCAAGACAGGCACTGCTCAAAAGTTCTCTTTTATTTGGATAGTAACTGGCACAACTGGATCTGAAAAATCTGAAAATTCAGGGCTTCCTTGCAATAATCAAAACTACAGATCCAACCCGCTACACCCATCATCACATCACATGCCCCAATCACCATCCGTCCCAAGTTAATACTTCCCCTCACTTGTGCGCACACTAGCATGACCTTGAACTACAAAAAGGATGTTATTTTGTCTAACTAAACATACGCCAAGAACTTCCACCCTCCCACTTTCCCAGGCTCAAAATGTGGCAGGGGTGGGAGCATCTGGTCTCAATATGGCTTCCCAAGTGGGCAGGGGATTTAGCAGTATCCGTCTCCTGCCATGCCCGCCAAGCCACGCCCACCAAGCCATGCCACACACACCAAGCCACACCCACAGAACCAGTAGTAAAAATAAATAAATGTTTGAATACCACCTCTGTAGAAATGGTAGAAATTCAGAGTCCACTGAGACTGTGTGATTTGACCGGGACAAGAGAATTAAAAACAAAAAGCATCCACACTTTGCCTTGAATCCTGCATTTGCTTATGAAAAGGAACCTAGGACACAAGCAGCGATAATGATATTGCTAAGACTTGTTTCAACGCAATTGGCTAACTCAGAAGAATACGGGTGGCTAAACATTGACTCAATAATGCGTCAACAGTTTCAATACCAAAGCTGCAGGCTTCAGTTGGCAAACAGAGATTCCAGTGGGATCAAATTATACACAAATAGAAGGGAGGAAAAAGCTCTTTCGGAAAGCAGATTTCCCACTATAGAGAAGTTTACGGGATGAGGCCAAGTCTACAAACTACACAGAGCAATTCTGAAGAGAAATTACCAATAGGGTGATGCAAATTTTCCTGGATGTTTGTGGAAATTCTCAGCCATCCAGGTCATGGTTAACCTAAAGGTACTTTTTTTGTTTTTTCCAAGAGGAACCTGGACTTTCTGGTTTTTTCTTTTTCTTTTGAAGATGTTTCACTTCTCATCCAAGAAGCTTCTTCAGTTCTGACTGAATGGTGGGGAATGGAAGGATTTATCCTCCTTGCAGACTGCTGGTCATTTGCATCCTTTTTAGAGAGTCGTTGAGGCCACTTGGAAGTCTCTCTGTGTCCTTAGGGCCACCTGAGTGGTGCAAACGGGTGCGGAGCCTTCTTGGAACTGCTGTTTGTGGAGCTGTTTTTTTCTGCAGGACGTTTTTTGCCCTGGGTCCCTTCACTGTTGAACATGGGCTGTTGGGGACAAGTCTGTATTGTCTCCATCTCAAACTGAAATGCGAAGGGTTCCTGTAGTCTGCAATCTTTATGGAAATCTGTTCATACCCTTGCATCATTTGAGGGTGTCCCTACATAGCCAAATGGCTGTGGAGATTTTCAGCCATCCACAGCCTGAGCCTGGGTTCAAACGTGAAGGGAGCCAGGGCAGAAAACATCGTACAGAATAGCGGGTCGCCAACCAGTGGGCCAGGGACCACTGGTGGTCCACGAGAAAATTTTGGTGGTCCGCAGAGAAATGTCACTTCCAAAGCAATTGATCCAGGCTGCGCTGGAACACATGGCCCAGGGGGACGCAAGGCTTGCGTCGATTGCATTGCGAACAACACGAGGTAGTGAGGAGGTTAGGAATGTGGCTGCCTTGGAGGGGATGGGGTGTGTGCGAGGGACCTCTGTGTGTGTGTCTTTGTGTGTGTGAGAGAGAGAGAGAGAAAGAGGGGGGGGGGGGGGGGGGGGGGGAGGGAGAGAACATCACCACCAGCCCTCCGAGGTTAGATCGGATGTATATCTCTCTCCTTTTCTCTCTCTCCCTCTCTCTCTCTCCCACTCTCTCCCTCCTTGCCTCTCTCTCCCCCTCCCTCCCTCCCTCTCTCTTTCTTTCTCTCCCTCCCTCTCTCTCCCTCCCTCTCCCTCTCCCTCCCTCCCTCTCTCCCTCCCTCTCTATCTCTCTCCCCCTCTCTCTCCCTCTCTCTCTCTACCTCTCTCTCTACCTCTCTCTCTACCTCTCTTTCTATCCCTCCCTCTCTCTCTCTCCCTCCCTCCCTCTTTCTTTCCCTCCCTCCCTCTCTCTCCCTCCCTCTCCCACTCTCTCTCTCCCTCCCTCTCTCTCTCCCTCACTCCCTCTCTCTTTCTCTCCCTCCCTCCCCCCTCTCCCCCTCCCTCCCTCCCTCTCTCCCTCCCTCTCTATCTTTCCCTCCCTCTCTCCCTCCCTCTCCCTCTCCCGCCAGAAGTGGGATTTGGGGGTTCTCTGAACTGCACAGAACTTCTGATATTAACACAGAGGAGAAAGTCCAGAAATATTTCACAAGAAGAGTTCTCCACTCCTCTACTCATTGCAGAATACCTTATGCCACCAGACTCGAAATTCTAGACCTAGAGAACCTTGAATTACGCCGTCTTCGGTCTGATCTAAGTATGGTATATAAAATCATACATTGCAATGTCCTACCTGTCAATGAATACTTCAGCTTCAACCATAACAACACAAGAGCAAACAATAGATACAAACTCAAGTTAATCACACCAAACTTGATTTCAAGAAATACGGCTTCAGCAACAGAGTGGTCAATGTCTGGAATACTCTGCCTGACTCTGTGGTTTCTTCCCCAAACCCCAAAAACTTTAACCTTAGACTGTTTACTATTGATGTCACCCCTTTCCCTTGCCTACCGTCCCTGTCCTATTGTTTCTTTTTGTTTTTCTTATATCGATCCATTTCATGTATTCATAACTATGTTTTTTCTTATACCTATTATCTTGTAAGCGATTGACAAATCAAATAAATGAATAAATAAAATAAATAAATAAACTTTAGCTAGGGGCTTTCCCGAACCCCTAGCAGCCCACCCCTTACCCTTCTTTTCATAGACTAGAATTATCCAATTCCCGCAGTTCCTGTTCTTCGTATGTTTTAGCCTCCAGTTCCCTAATCCTCTTTGTTGCTCTTCTCTGCACTCTTTCTAGAATCTCAACATCTTTTTTACATCATGGCAACCAAAACTGGATGCAGCATTCCAAGTGTGGCCTTGCCAAGGCCTTATAAAGTGGTATTAACACTTCACAGGATCTTGATTCTATCCCTCTGTTAATGCAGCCTAGGATTGCATTGGCTTTTTGGGCAGCTGCTGCACAAGGCTGGCTCATATTTAAATGATTGTCCACTAGGACTCCAAGATCCCTCTCAAAGTTAGTATCAAATTCTACCTATTCTATATCAGTGAATTTGGTTTTCGTTGCCTAAAGTGTCAAAATCTTGCTTTTCTCTACATTGAATTCCGAGTGGATTTTTCAAATGGATTTCAGAGGCTTGGCTGAAAAACCTGGATTTCAGCTTAAGTCCACCCTCAAACCCCCATAGCACACCGTTCTGGGCCTTGTGACAAAACCACTCAGCCTCTTGGACCAATTACCTCATGGATTCCAAAGTGAGCGTACGAATCAAAGTAATAATCCCTCGACGTCATTTCTTCTGGATTCAGGAGTTTCGCCATCTTGCCTCGGCCGGGACAACTTGGCGCCAACGGAGTTTGAATGGCAGGCGGGACAGGATTCGGTATGGTGACTGGCTGGAGAGGCTTGGGGCCACCGCTGTACACCTGAAAGGCGTCACAAGAAAAAATAAATAGTAAATACTACCTAATAAATACTACCTAAATTATAGTTATCTCATAAAGTATGAATGAATAAAATTATAGCCAAATGATTTTCTAATAGTGATACTAGGATATATAAGTTTGGATTGATAATACGAGTTATTATGTAATGTAACTGTAATTGAGACTATGAAATGAATGCACAAAACTGATGAACCAACCAACACACTGCTTGTATATATGTATGGAAGAGAGCTGATGTTTTTATGTTTTGTTTGTTTTGTTTGTTTTTAAAAAATCAATAAAATTGTTTTCAAAAAAAAAGAAAAAATAAATGTCATAGCATTTTACGCCCACACATCTTTTTCTTCTGCACTTTCCATATTTGCTTTTCTTTCTATTCATATTTTTCGGTATTTAAGGATCTTACTTTTTTTACCAGCTCAACCTCTTCTTCCTGTCTTGCTCTCTTTAAATTAGGACAAGAAGCAACGGATGGAAACTAATCAAGAAGAGAAGAAACTTACACTGTTTTCCCAAAAATAAGACCCTGTCTTATATATTTTTTTGCCACCACAAAAGGCACCAGGTCTTATTTTCAGTCATCCACTGACTAACCTCACTTGTGTGTGTCACCCCCAGGCTCCTTTTCACTGTTAGTGGCCTCCAGGAACTTCTTCTGTGGCTGGCAAGGCTTTCCTGAAGGTTTCTGCAGCTGATAACAGCACTCTGGATCGAACCTGAGCTTTGTATTCAGCTACAGAGACCTTCAGGAAAGCCTTGCCAGCCTTGCTGGCTGCAGAAGAAATGGGCCGGCAAGGCAGGTGTTGGGGTGTGCGAGGCCTGGCTACAATTGCCCAAAGGTAACTAGTAGGGCAGTTCCACCACCACCCCATCCCCACCCTAGCTTAATTTTATCCATGCACTCTGGGGTGGGGGGGTCTTAATTAGGGCTTATTTTGGGGATAAGGCTTATATTGAGTGCATGTGTAAAAATCAAGCTAGGACTTACTTTCAGGTTAAGTCATATTTTCAGGGAAACAGGGTAGAACTAAGGAGAAATTTCCTTACAATTAGAACAATTAATCAGTGGAACAAGCTGCCTCCAGAAGTTGTGAATTCTCCAACACTGGATTTTTTTTAAGAAAATGACAATTTTTCACATTTTATTATCATTGCAGCAACCCCACGGTGGTCATGTAATCAAAATTTACAATTTTGGCAACTGACTAAATGAACTGTTGTAAGTTAAGAGCTATCTGTAGTCTCTCAGATATTCTGGCACATTCACTCTCAGACTGCCTCCCTCGCTAAAGCTTGCCAGAAAATCTGACCACTCTCTGCAGTAGGGCTTACACAAGCTCGCACAAATGGAGATTCCTTTAAATCACCGACAAAGAAAATTGTCCATTATGGTTGTTAACAGCCTCTTTAATAGCTTTTATATCTCTCTTGCATTTCCGGGACCTCAAGTATGACATCTTTCTCAGGAGCTGCAGCTCAAACCATCCTCTTTCAAACTTCAAGCAAAGTTTTCTTGGGCATCGTCCAAGCAAACAATAAATAGGTCTCTGTCAATATCTAAAGCAAAAAGCAACCATCTGGTTTGGGCTGCAAAAGAGGTAGCTAAAATAGCCGTGAAAATATTAAGGGCAAAATGAGCTGGTTGGCTAGATAAATGCCATGAATAAATAAATAACAGAATTACAAAAGAACAGAATTGGACGGGAACTTAGAGGTCTTCTAGTCCAATCCATTGATCAAGTAGGATTTAGATTTGCCGGTTCTCTGAACTGCGCAGAATCATAACAACCAGTTCTCTAGAACCGGTCTGAACCGGTAGAATACCACCCCTGCTTATACCCTATGTAAGTCCTCAACATATGACCACAATTGAGCCCCAAATTTCTGTTGTTCAGTGAGACATTTGTTAAGTGAGTTTTGCCCCCATTTTATGACTTTTCTTCCCACCGTTGTTAAGTAAATCACTGCAGTTAATCAGTTAGTAACCTGGCTGTTAAGCAAATCTGGCTTCCCAATGGTCTCTGCTGGTCAAAAGGTTACAAAAGGGGATCACATGACCCCCAGGGACACAGCAAAGGTAATAAGTATGAGTCAGATGCCGAACACCTGAATTTTGATCCCTCGATCCGGGAGATTGCTGCAAAGGTTGTAACTGTGAAAAACAGCCATAAGTCACATTTTCCAGTGCCATTGTAACTTTGAATGCTCACTAAATGAACTGTTGTACCTCAAGGACTACCTGTACCATTCCAGACAAATGGCTGTCCAGTCTCCTTTTAAATAATGTCCAATGATGGAGCACACACAACTTCTAGGGGCAGGACGTTCCACTGGTTATTTGTTCTCCCTGTCAGGAAATTTCTCCTTAGTTCCAGGTTGATTCTCTCCTTGATGAGTTTCTGTCTACTGCTTCCTCTCCTGCCCTCAGGTGCTTTGGAACAGGGGTCACCAACCTTTTGGATCTCAGGGACCACCAAACTCATAATTTTAAATCCCGCGGACTAGAGACCCTGGGAAAATCCCCAAAAAAGTCCACAGGAAAATTCCCCACCCCATTTCCCTACCGATCAATCATTCTTTATTTGGGATCGCAATATAGCATCTCCAGCTCCATTCTCAGGGGAAGAAAGAGAGAGACTTTTGGCTTCATTCAAGGAAAGCAGCAGAAGCAGCAGACTTTCTTTCTTTCTGTCCCCCAAACTTTGCCAGAGATGAGTCTTTGTGAGACCAGTTGCACTGGTGCAGCCTCTTGGAGCAGGAGGCCTTGCAGGGTCCCAAAGACTCATTTCTGGCGGAGTTTGTGGGGGAGAAAGAAAGACTTTGGCTGCTTTCCTTGCGTGCAGCCAAAAGCAGAAGAAGGAAGAAGCAGAAAGAAGCAGCCCAGTGGCCAGGCCAGATGTGTGGAGTGAGTGGGGCAAGTTCCCCCCCTCCTCCTTTCCCCCCTCTCCTCACTACCTCATGTTGTTCGCAATGCAAGCGACGCAAGCCTTGTGTTCCCGCAGGCCATGTGGGCGGCGCAGCCTTGTGTTTCCATGCAGCCTGGATTAATTGCTTTTGGGGGGTGCTTTTGGGGGTGCTTTGGGGGTGACATTTCTCCATGGACCACCAAAATTTTCCTGCTGGTTGACGATCACTGATTTGGAATACAGGTTGAGCCTCTGGTCTTTGTGGCAGCCCCTCAAATATTGGAACCCTGCTATCATATCATTCCTAGTCCTTATTTTCATTAAACTAGACATATCTAATTCCTACACAAGGTTGTGGCATCCCCTCAAATATTGGAAGACTGCTATCATGTCACCCCTAGTCCTTCTTTTCCCTAGAACAGCCATATCTAGTTCCTGCAACAGTTCTTCATATATTGCGGTTTCCAAGCTCTTAATCACCTTTCTTGCTCTTCTCTGTCCTCTTTCCAGAATCTCAACATCTTTTATTTACAATCTGGTGACCTAAACTGGATGCAATGTTCAAGGCGTGGTCTCGCTTACCAATTCTACACACAGCTCCTTCTGCTTTCTATCTGGGTATCCCCGTACCTCAACTATGAGAATGCTCACGAAAGGTTTGAGATGTAGGAGCCAAACTACATCAGCCCTATAAATCTCTTCTGCATCGATGAAGGGAAGTGGGCAGGATTCCAGCTGGCCAGATGTTTGCTCTCTCAGGAGCAAAAGGAAGGCCCCGTTGATAATTTATGGAATTTGCAGAGCCATCCTCCTCACCTGGAGTGGCCCTCTCTTCGCTAAAAAAGAAGAGACAGAAGGAGTTAGATTCTTGTGAATCTAATTCCTGGCTCTTGATCTGAGAACTCCGAGAGAGAGTTTGTGATGTCCCCGGTTTTCCTAAGCTAGGCGTCAAGGGACCTCACAATTTTAACCCAACGCAGAAGAGGGCTGAGCAGGAGACAGGATTCCTTAATTAGCCTTCTTATCTTCAGTCTGCATTGCCACACACCTTAAGATTTTTAATAGACAAGCAGCATTTATTGAGCTTTGTCCGTTGCTGACAATGGAATTTAGGCTAGATTCTATTTTTTTTTCCCTCCATTTTTCTTCAAGGTAGAGAGACTGATCATTTATTTATTGAAATGTTAATAAACGTGCTCCCCCCCCCCCAAAAAAAGAGAGAGAGATAAATCCTGTAGGAGGAGAGCCAAAAATTCACGCTTTTCTTTTTTTTTAAAAAAAAAACTGCATTAGAAAAAGTGCCACTGAAATTGATTTCGTGATTACACAGAGAGAGATCTCTTGCTGTGTACAGCCTCCCTGCCCGTAATTTAAGACACAGCTATGATTTGGGAGGAAATGTATAATGTTAACGAAACCAAAAGGCCAAATGCTTTAGTACAGTAGTCCTTGGCTTACAGCGGCAATTGAGCCCAACGTTTCTGTTGTTCAGTGAGACATTTGTTAAGTGGCCGCTGTCCCATTTTACGACCTAGTTGTTAAGCGAATCGCTGCAGTTGTGACATTAGTAACACAGGTTTGTTAAGGGAGCCTGGCTTCCCGCCTTGACTTGGCTTGTCAGAAGGTGCAAAAGTTTAGTTTAGTTTGTTGTCATTGCATCTCGTGCAACGAAATCAAACACCGTCTTCAGTGCACATCATGACCATGAGAATAAACACAAACACACATCCTTCACACTCCACACATTGAATTGAAAACCCCTGATATTGCATTAATATTGCACTCTACAGCAGAATTCAAAAGAGCTACTGCCCTGGGATAAAAGCTGTTTCTCAGCCTATTTGTCCTTCTTTTTAGTTATCCTGTACTGTCTGCCAGATGGCAATAGTTTTTTTAAAAAAGGGGTGCCCAGGATGAGATGGATCTTTAATAAGAATGTTTTGAGCTTCCTTAAGGCAGCCGGAGCTCTAAAGCTCTTCCAAAGAGAGGAAAGGGCAACCAATGATCCTCTGGGCAATGACATTAACCCTCTGGAGTGCTGTCCTGTCTGCCCCTGTGCAATTGGCAAACCAC